GGCAGCCTCTGCCTTGTCCGGCTACCTCAACTATGAACATGTTTACAACAGCAATGGAGAGGTAGACTCTCAACCAACAACAAGTCTGTCAACAGATGGGGACAAAACAAGCACAGAGTCTCCAGAGGCCCTTTGGGCCAACTTATGCTGACGTCTGCATGCAAAGGGGACCTGCCTGTGTTGGCCTGAGGGGTACATTTGCGCTGGTGCTGTATGTGGAAATGGAGAGCACATGTCTAAGTACTGGGCTGTTGTACTGTGTACGGTTAATGGGACACTCGTGCAACAGCTGTTGCTGCTGTGTTTAAAAATTTCTCATCTCAGCCCTGTGATACTATCTGATCCTACAGATCCCTTTCATTTTGTTTTTATGAAGAGTGCTTTATGTTTCTAGAGCTCTTAATTGGAAAGGTCAACAGCAGTGTAATCTAAATGATTATTGAATCACAGACAAACTCTTGGCATGCTCTGAGTGCTCCTTCCATCCAGCATGGCTGCATCAGCCCCACCTAATGCATGCGCAGTCGAAGGACTGAAGGCAGCAATTTATCCTATTAGGTCTTTCTCATCAGCACATGTTCTTTTCTTACAAAAAGCTTCTTCATGCAAGATCTTGGACCATTTCCCTGATCTCCACCCCTCCAGAGAGACATGAGGGAAGTTCCACCATGGGAAACTGGATAAAAGTTTGAGGAGTAGATAGCAGAGAACAATCCTGCTCTGAGGGAACAAGGAAGGGGCCAGAGGTGATCTAACATATCTGTGACCTTTAGGATAGCAGCTGTGATGGCATTTCAGGTTGTGTAAACACTATCCATCTGTAGGTCTTGTGTAACTGTGCCTGAGTACCTAGGATGCATTATCTTAGCTAGAATCTTGGAGCAAGTGACAGTGAAGTAGCAGGGATCACAGCTGACATCATGTGTTTACACTAGTGAAGTCAGGGGAAGACTCAGAGCATCTGAGTGACCTTACTGAGCTAAGCTGGCAGGCAGAGTGACAGCAAGCAAACGCCACTTGTTGTCAAGCTGCAGCCAAAATGCGTAGGAAGGAATCATTTTGTTTTTCTTTGTTTTGAGTTCTGTAGACAGCACAAGGGTCAACACAACACCTAAGAATCACAGCAGTTAAAGTAGCTGTAGCACTGATGGTTTTGCCCTTCTCTTCCTCCCTCAGGACGTCCTGTTGCTGAGTCAGTTTATCCGTTCTGATGGAGGGATGCTGCCACGAAGGATCACAGGCCTCTGTTTGGAGGAGCACAAGAAGATTGCTGTCTGTGTGCAGATGGCTCACCGTGCAGGTACCTAGCCTCCTCTTGAGACAACCCCTTAGTGGGGATACCCATAGAACACCTTCAGAGGGGTCTCCCGCCCAATTAGTATAGTTCAGTGAAATGTCATTGTCCAGTCACCCAGCAAACTCATTATGGTCCAAGTGCTGGGACAGGATGATAGATCAGAGCCTGCTTGTTCCATTTTCTGTGTGTCTTAGCGCCTGCCTTGGCAACAGACATTTATCCCTGTAGATGAGTCTGCCATTGCAGAAAGGTCTGGGAAGTGGCTCAGTCTCTAGTAACTAGTGATTAAATACCAGCTCCTGAAATTACTTGATTTAGCCTAACCTTGGCCTACCTCATTAATAACATGCACCTGTCTACCATCAGCCATGTGAAGACTTTTTTGCTTTACCCTGGGGTGGGACCCAGGTTGACACAGTCAGAGTATTGTGCTGATCTTTATGCCTGGTATCTGAGTTACATCCAAGTTAAATGGACTGAGAATTTTAATAGTCAGATTTTCATCCTGGAGATGGAATATGATTGGACACTAGTGCCCTGTGTCCTCTCAAAAAGCCTCTTTGATGAGCCCAAGTGGCTGTGTCTTTGGTGTGTATTTCCTCTCTATACCCAGCAGAACCTCCTAGCTTCTCTTTGGCTGGCGTGCAGGTTCAGTGATGACTAAAGATAAATCCCCTTTCTACTGTACTTGAGTTTTTGCTGTGCTGGCCCAGTAGGGACCTGGGTTGCCTGCCTTATGAGGTGTAATGTAACTTCTGGATGCTATAGAGGCAAGGAGGCACTGCAAAATATTCTCACGCCTTTCTTTTTCCATTTCAGGTTTGTTGCCAAACCACAGGCCTCCACTTCCTGAAGGGCATATTCCCAAGAAACCCAAGCTCAACAGGTGAATAGCCTTGACTTTTCACATGTCTTTTTTCAGGAATAGATTGGAAGAGGAAAAGAGGTTCCTGATAACTGGGTAAAACATGCCTTGGGCAACAGGGCCCATAAAGAGTACTCATAGCATTTCGGAGAAGGAAGGTCTGTCACAATATTCGCTTGTCAGTCTTTTTAGGACAAACCACATCTCATTCAAACCATTTATCCACACAGGATTAAAACTTTTAGTCTGCCCTCCCTTCCTCAGCTGCACTCGCCTCCTCATCACTAACGCTCAGTGGGGCACTCACAGGATGATGCCACAGAGACGGAGTCACAACATCACAGATTAGTTGAGGTGGGAAGGGGCCTCTGGAGATCATCTAGTCCAAGACCCCTGCTCAGGTAGGGTCACCTAGAGCACATTACCCAGGACTATATCCAGTCAGGTTTTTAGTATCTCCAAGGATGGACCTGCCACAGTTTCTCTGGGCAGCTTATTCCACAGAACCACTGTCATAGTGAGACAGTGTTTTCTTACGTTCAGACAGAAATTCTTGTCTTTCAATTTGTGTGCATTGCCTCTTGTCTTGTCACCGGGCACCACTGGGAAGAGCCTGGCTCAGTCTTGTTTACACTCTCCCTTCAGATATTTATAAACATTGGTGGGACCCCCCGAGCCTTCTTTTCTCCAGGCTGAGCAGTCCCTTCTCTCTTAGCCTTTTGATACCTGGCCCCCAACAGCAGGAGGGTGCCCAGGAATGGTACTAGCAGTGAGTGGGGGACTGAGCAGCCAGCCGCAGCCCATCACAAGCCTGATCCCTGCTACCCCATCCCCATTTCCCCCAGTCAGTGATTCACCCTTCGCCTGCCCTTCCTATGCAACAGGGTCTCTTCCCCCTCCCTGGCCTGAACGGCCCCTGGCCTTTGGTGGGCAAAGGGAAAGCCTGCGGCTGCCTCCTGCACTGTGCTGGGCGCTCAGAGGTGTTAATCCCCCTGTTTATGACCTCACACTCTGTTTCCATGGGGATGTCAGAGCGGTTTATGAACCTCGCATTAGCAAGCCATGGGGTTACCAGAGGCCATGGGGCTGTTGCTGGGAGAGCTTAGGCTGCAGGGCTAGGGATGGCTGGAGACTCCTGCATTTCAGGTCTGACTCTCTGCAGTGGAGATTTGAGGCAAGCTCTTGGAAACGTCCCTTGGATGCTGGCAGGCTGCATACTGGGTATCAGTGAGGATCAAATTAGAGGGCTCTGCATTTGGTGCAGCCCTGTAGCCATCAGATACTTCAACTCTGAAAACTTCTTTCCCGTGTCTTACAAGTCTCTGGGATTCTTTAGTAGCTGTGTCTAGCAGCTGTGGGGTGGAGCACATTATCTAGCTAGCATTCACATAGCAACGCTGCATAGCAGGTTGAGACAGGAAATAGTAAATCCTGTATCTTGCTGGAATCACACCAGGACTCCAGATATAATGCCCTGATGCTTATAAATTGTTCCACAGACTTTTAGTGAGAACAAAGAACAGATACCTCTGGATACGTTCTGTCTGCACGTAGGTGTGCTACACCTCTGAAATGAAGAGACTTAAATTGGAGATTAGTATCCAAGCCCTCCCTATTGCATTGCTAGTCCCTCCCTACGCCACCCTTGTTTTTCTTCTCCCAGCAAGGGAACACAGCAAGCAGGGTGGAAGCGGAGTTTAGAAAAAGAGCAGAGCTGTTGCTGAGGAGATAGAACAGCGTTGAAATAGGCCAGCTTTGGGGTCTGGGTGGAGACAAGAGAATGGGATCAAGAAATCGGATTGAAAGTTTTGGTGGTGGGGCTGGAACTAAACAAATGAGTCCCAGCACCTGGGATAGAGTGCAGGTACTTCAGGAGTGTTCTCCTGGTCCCCTATGGTACTATCTTCTCAATCTGCTGGAAGGGGAAAGCTCTGCATGTTGGAGCTTTGCGAAATCTTGGCCATTGCAGTTCTGTGAGAGTTTTGACTGTGCGGATCCCCACCTGCACTTCCCACATTGCTCTCTGGAACAGTAGCTGGCACCGCATAAGGCAGGAAATACAAATTGCTTCCTTCCTCTAGCTTGAAGGGAGGACTGAAGGGTACCCACATGCTGAAAACATTCAACCAGTACTTATTTTGAGAATGAAGCCAGAGCTCTTACCAGAAGTTTCCTGGAAGCTTGACTTGTTCAAGCTTACCTTGTCTTTGCCTCTGTACTTGTTTCTAAAGCTTTCTGTAAGTCTATAGTAATTTGGGAAGCACTCGGCCTGTGGTGTTGCCAAATGCAAGTGAGCTGGCAGGGGAGGACAGGGGCAGGGTTGGGCTGAGATTTTGAGTGGAACAAGCTGCCGTGTTCAATGCCATGAGAATGTGACCAGGTCATCCTCTAATCCTGTGTGGAGTAATATTGGGGCTGCATACCTAACTTAGCCTGTTCGTTCACTGTGTTTATGTCTGCTGGATTTTTAAGTGCCAGTTCAAGAAAGGATCAACAGGATCTACAGAGAGCCTGTTATAGCAGGCAGTATGTTGCACAGTTAAGTCATGTATTTTCCAAATCCTTGAGCTTCAGCTCTTCTTGAGACCACTGTATTGGCTGCTCTAGTTGTCTTTACCACTCTGCTTAAATGAGAGGTAGTAGGGCCTTTTTGCACTGCTGCTGTAGCCCTGGGAATGGCAGCCTCATAATATGCTTGGGCACCTTGTTAAAGCTCTTCCATGACAGGAACACAGGTAATGTACATTCCTTAACATCAGTGTAACCAGCCCTTGTGCTCTCCAGCTCTGCCTGGAGTGATGGCTTTTTCCTTGCTCCACCAGTGGGTCTACTATGAGTGTGGTGTTGAAATATGCTCCTCTGCACCCCATCCCCTCCAAAATAACCCTCATCAGCTACACTTCAGGAGCAGACCGAAGTGCCCATGTTGTAGATGCTGGAGCTATTGAATTGCCACCAGCTGCTTGAGGGATCTTTAACTTGATCTATGAAGGAACCAGGGGATCCTGGCACAGCAGCTTGCCCATTGCTGTGCACTGATGCTTGCAGAGGTAAAAGAGGCATCACTTTCTTGGCTCTGCAGGAGTCTGATCCTCCTTCGTCAAAAGAAAGTAGTCATGCAGCAGCAAGCCAGCAAACAGAGGTGGGGACAAACTTGTATCAGGGCTGCAGACAGAAGTGGATAGTTCTCACAGCTGGCTAGCAGTATCCAGTATACTGAGAATTTAGTCCATTTCCAGTCACACGGCCTCCGTTCCTGCTGTCTCTCCCCCTCGCTTGTCTGCACTTACTCTCTTGCCATCAGGAGCTTGCATTGCACATGGAAGAAAGCTGTGAATACAGAAGACACAGTTCCTGCTGTACTGTTCTAAAATAGGAAGGTGGAAGGTGAAAAGAATAGACAGAAGAGCACTGTGAAGGCATATAGTCTGTCTCAAGACTGTGACCTTAAGCTTTGCTGTGCTGAAGGACAGCATTTCTCTCAGAGTTCTGTCTGTACTTTGGTGTGCTCACCCATTCTGCCCTGAAATTCCTCTCATTGTTCCCCTGTAAGCAATCTGTTGTCTAATTCTTCACTCTGAATTGAGAAATCTTTTACTTTTTTGAAGGAGGGACTCCTGAGAAATCACTGTCTACTCCAGATGTTACCCCACATACTTCTCTAAGAATTCCTACCATCTGGGGACAGAAAATCTTACACTGAGCTGAAGAATATTTTGCTGATGGTAGAGCTCTTGACACTAGACTACACCACCAGCTGCTAGAGTAACAGGACCAAGATGAAAGCCTAAGATAACCTTAGGGACTGATTCCACTTACACCACCCGAGATGGAAGGAGATTCATTGTGGGGAGTGTAACCTGAAGTGGGAATCGGAGCCCACCACCTCTACCATAATACAGACCTGAGCATTCACTTACTGCATGTAGACTTAGAGCAGCAAGCCGTGCCTGGCTGAAGTCTGGCAGATTACTTCATTTGGATGAGCAATCTCTTTCATTTCTCTCCAGTCTTGCAAAATTCTGGTTGATGCTGCCTTCGGCCAGGCTTCCAAGGTTGTGTCAGTATTTTTGAGAGCAGCTTCATCTGCTGCCAAAAGAGGGACAAACCAGCCTAATGAAAAACTGCTTTGTCGTTGCTCTTTGCCCCTGAGACAATGTACAGGCCAGCTGCGTGGGAGGAACCCTATGGCTCCTGGGCAAAGGTGCTAAGGAAGTGCATAAAGAAGGGCTGAGGAGCTGTGTTAATATATACTTTTGAGAGCACCAGAAAAGCTGCTCCTCAGCTTTTCCTTGGCTGTATTTGTGGCTATCTTGGCCAGAATGTTTGGCCCATATCAAGGTCACCCTGTTTAAAGTGAGCCTGCTTCAAATACAAAGTGTGTGGCATGCAATTAAAATGTAACATGCCACCATATGGAACTATCAGCAAACTGTCTTGTTTTAACAAGGGCCGGGGTGCTGCCCTGCTATTGATACAGTAGTGAAGTGTGGATTTATTATCCAGAACCCCTCTGCTTACTCTGCCCCTCCAGAAGGTGCTTTTCTGGTGCTTATTCCATGATGTTTTCCAAAAAGCAGAATCCCTGCTCTATCTTCTGAAGTGGTTTTATTGTCTCCATTGTACAAATTTTGGACATTCCCTCCTACAATGCCCCAAATTTCTCTGCCGAGAGGTAAGAATTTCCCTGCTTTGCACTGGGTCACTTGGCAGCTGGCCTCCCCCTACTCACCCCTTCTGCTCCTGTTTCTACTACTGCAATGCAAGAGGAAGAGCAGAATGCTTTGGGAAGTAGTGGCCTGCAGATCCCGCCTTGTCCTTGGTCATCCAGCTATCTAGCACAGTATGGGATCACCCATCCGGGATGGAATGTAACGTAGAGGAGGAGATTGGGAACTGCAGAAGAAGGTATAACATGAAAGTGAAATGCCAATTTGAGCCAAGCTGCATGGTCCTGGGGGTGGTAGGAGACGTATGAGAACACTTTGTGGTCAGAGTTCAACTGAGGAGCACTCCGAAGCTCTCTTTTCTACCCGCTGCGGTTGGGGCACTGTCTGGGTGAGACTTGCCATGATATTTCTCATTTCTTGGACTTTAGTTCTTTGCCTTTTGGCTTTCTGCCTGATTTGGTTTTGACAGTGATAACTCATGAATGTTACCACTTAACTGCTTTACTAGCTATGGATGCTTTTGAAGAAATATGGCCATAGGAGTACCGACATCGTCCATAAACTCTTAAGTCTACTGTCCTCCTCCCCTCTTCCATATCATTTGTCTGCAGAACTTGGACATGGAAAACCAATGAAGTTTACCCCCGTCAATGCAGAATTACTCCCTACAGTTCATTTTCTCATGTTTGGCCCAGTCTGGGGCTTTCACTGTTTCCAAAGGATGATTCCACAAGCAAATTTGTCTTGCAGCCAAGGATTGTTCCCTGATCCTCAGCCTGAATTCTCCCTTTCATAACTTCCTGCTGTTATTTCTGCGTCCGTTTTTGCTCCAGCCTGGCATGTTCCAGTTAAGTGCTGCAGCAACAAAATATTTTCACTAGCCCGTGAGGCCAAAGAAGTTCTTAGGGATTTCACCAGCACTATGCAGAGTGACAGACTGTTCTGATATTACAGAGTCATGTGTGTGCAGGCCACCACACACCTGAACCATTTGGGAAACGGTCAAGCACAGCTGCAGGTCAAACTTCTTGCTTTCAGGAATGGAAACTTGAATAGCTCAGCAGTTTTCTTTCCAGCATGGAGGTTGTTGCATGGATAGTGTGGACTAACACTCTATCTGGAACAGACTTCAAGCCAGCATCTATGTGCTCTCTTAATGTGAATATAGCATTCATTTTCTTCTGGCATGTCCAAAATACTGGTTAAAGCACAACACTGTGAAGTTGTTCCCTTTCCAAAAGGACCAAGGGATGTCACAGGTTGCCTGAGCCTGCGTTCTGTCAGCAAGAGGTGCTGTAGATTATGGAGTACTTGATTTTGAGCGCTCAGCTGCTGCTCCATTTTCAGCTTCCTACTGGAAGAACAGAACTTGGCACAGATAATATCCAAGTCAATCTCTCCTCCATCAGCTGAATTGAAGAAGTTGCTATGTGTTAGGAAAGAGGCAGGTTCTGTATGAACTCCTCATGAATTAAAAGTTCTTGGGCTCTGTGGACACCTCTCATCCCTGGGAGCAGAATCTGGTTTCACTGCTATCAGCGTTTCACTCTAGCAGCATGTGGTTTCTCTCATCTGCATGGAGACTGTGGTGTGCATAGCACGTGAATTCAAAAGCAAAGAGCCAGAGCGGCTGCAGGTGAGCAAAGCCAAGAGGTGTCATGGGAAAGGATGTGGCAGGGAGGAGACAGTCTTGCCAGCACTTTGATCGAGTGCTTCCTGCAGTCTGTAGCCCTCTGCCTTCTGCTCTTAATCCAAACAAAAGCCAGACTAAAAAAGTTCAGTGAGGGTTCAGAATTTCAGCCTTGAACTGCACCAGCATGGCCTTTGCTTGGGCTGCGTGCAGGACTGCAGTTGCCCCATGGGTAAGTCGTTTCCCCTACCCAGCGCATGGAAGCCCTCTGCCTACTTCTAGGTTTTAAGTGGCAACCTCTGAGTAGGAAGGCTTTGCGGCCCTCCTACCCACTGAATAAAATCCGTGGAAATGAACTTCCATGTGCCACAGAGATTTTAGGCTGTTGCAATGACTGCAGATGACTAACCACAGTTGTTTCCATGCTGTTTATATCTTCTTTTCCCATCAGGGAAATCCCACCAGGATTCCCATCACGCTTTATCTAAACTACTCATTTGTGCAGCTGGAGTCTAGGGATTCTGGTTGTTGCCCAGAATGCTACCGTACTCAAGGGGGCAAGCAGAGCCCCGAGGTGAGCTGCCGGTCCCCAAGGTTGGCAGTTCTGTCCCTCTTTGTCCAGAGTGAGAGCTCTGCACGCTGAGATAACAAGTTAGGGGGCTGCGGACCAGCTGCATTTGGCACCCACATGGAGGCTCTGTCCTGACAACCCTCAGTGGGTTGAGAAAATTCAGACCATCTGCCAGCGTGTGTTTGTAGGTTATTAGAAAAACTCCCCAAGGCAAACCGTTTGGTTGGATACAATGGAAACTTGGATGACTTGGCTAGAAAAGGGGGGTGCACTACCTTACATGGACAGTAGAGTTTGCAGAAAAGTCGTGTGTGCTGGGCTTTGAAGCTGTCATATGTGAGTTTTGTGGATTGTTTTTACTCTCAGGAAAAAAAAAATCTGTGAAACAGTAGGAAGTGAGGTTAGTCAAAGAGGAAAAGGAACTTTGTAGACTGACTGCTCCCAGGCATCAGGCTTTTGCCACTGCTGAATCAAGGTAAAAAAAAAAAAAAAAAAGGCAGCAAACAAAATAGGACAAGTTTGAGTTTGGGACAAAGCAAGTATTAAAAGCGCTAAAAGCAAATGTGCTCCAGGAAGGGAAAGCGTCCAAATGTCTGTTTCAGCTAACAATGAAAAGCCCCAGCCTGCAGTCCCCAAAGGAAGCCAAAAGCCTGGACCAGAGGGCTGGATTAGACCTGCTCAAAAGAGAAACAACAAAAGCTTTAAAATCAGGCCATTACTAAATCCTCCTTCCTATGCAGAATTGGGGTGTGCACTTCCAGCCCCCACACAGAAACAGAGGGATTTCTTAAAAAGCCACTGTCTGTCTAAACCTGCACACAGCATTGATGTGTATCTCCCATTCACACATTCACTTCTTTCCCAGTGACATCATTTATTATCACAGGAGCTCTTTCCCGTAAGTGTGTGGACACGTGACCAGAACTGCACTTGGCACACTGATGCATTAAAACAATTTGGGTTTTTTTTCCTCCTCCGCTGTAAGTGCAGTCTTGCGATACCAAAACTTGCGCTACAGACCTCCCCCTGCAGCAAGGGGAACATGAAAAGAAGGACTTAGCCCTGTGTGCCCATCTAATATCCCTACAGCTTCTCCCAAAGGAGCTGCCTTGCCATGGTTCTTTGCCAGATTCCAAACTTGGGACCTGCATTTGGTCTCTCTGAACTCCCCTTGCATGTGAAATTAGAGAGGAGCGTCTCTCCCACTTCGTGTCGTGATGTTGTTTTGTAAGGGATTCCACTAATGCACTAGCATAACTTTAAAGGTTAAAAGGGACTAAAGTAATGCACGCGTAGGAGAACAAGTGGCTGGATCCCTCCTGCTGTTGCTTCTAGGTGTTTTAACTATCATAAACTCCTCAAAGCAAAAGCAAACCATTTTGGAATTGGCTTCGTTTTAGTGGCAGGAACCTGCAAATGTGATTCATTTTTCAATTTGCGCTGTTTGGGATTGCTGAGGAAGAAAAATGCTAGGAAAATGGGCTGCTGTTATATAGTCTGTGGCTGCCTGGCATAGCAACCTTTCTTTGTAGTTGTCAAGAATGTGCCAAATGCCTTCAAACAAACGCATTACATGGTCTCTGTCCAAAGTTCTTAATATCTCAAATTTGCACGATGCAAATAAAAGGTAACAAAGCTGTTTGGGCAGAGGATGACTGATCGAGGTTACATTAAGACCATGGGATTACTCAACAGAGGCATGCAAACATCTCTGAACAAAGTTTATCAGTCTGTTCCAAATTCTAATTTGTTGGAGCATTGTTTGTGCAGATTATGCTAGGGTTTTACTTTGGATCTTTATTGTCTGAAAAGACTCCTCTTTCTCTAAGGACCTCTATTCCCCTCTCTACTGGTAGCAAAAGATTTAAAGCCTAACAAAACTCCAGGCCACCCAGCCACAGGGTAAGATTTCCAGTAACTGATTCTGGATCTGAAATCCCCTGCCTCTTTGCAAAGCCAAGTCTAAAACTTCAAATGGTAAAAAGCAGAGGATATTTGCCAGACATTGCTCTTCACAGAGATTTGTAGTTGTGATGATAATTCCATTCTAGTACCTCTTACACTGTAGGTTCTGACTTCCTGCACCAGCAAACTGCAATAGTATTGTACAGAGAACACTGAAGCAAATTTGGACATACAAAAATACAAGACTAGGCCAGAAACTCATCCCATGCAGAAGAAATAACCGATTAGCCACCAAAAGTAAACGAATCCCTTTTTAGGGATTTTATTTCTCACCGAGTTTAGCCTTTGTAATTAGTTCACCTTATTGAGGCCAGCTGTTGAAACACCACCTCCCATAGAAGCTGGATGCATCCAGTCATGGAGGTAGTTGCAATGAAGGGATTTGGCACGCCAGTTTAGCTACAGGTGGACAACTTGCCAGCAGCCTGGAGGCTACACCGGATTTCTTTTGTGAGACTGGAAGTCAAGCAGGTGCCAGTGGGTTCAGTACAGAGGTGCAGCTTAGAAGTTCCAAAACAAACAAAAATTCCTTTCTAGTGGTCCCTTCTGTGTTGACGGAGCTCTGGTCATGGTTGTTCCTTTTATAAAGAGGCATGTGGGGAGGCAAAGGCTACAGTGCCTGCTCCCGCTTCAGTCGGAACCTTTTCTCAGTGCTCAGTCTCAAACTGAAATGTGTTTGTGGTGTTTTGACAGGTATCTGACCCGCTGGTCCAGCAGATCTGCAAAGCCCATCTGGAAGAGGGGCCCTAAGTGGTGCAAAAAACCCATGCCAGTCGGACACCCTTTGCTGAAGGATAACGTCAAATATACACACAAGCCTCTCTCTTTAAACCACTAGTGGCCAGAACTAGCATAGTCAGTAAGCACAGCTGTTTGTTTGCCACTGTTCTGCTTTTTTTGCAACTTTGTCGGTATCTCCAGTTTTCTTATTCCAAAACTGTCAGGAGCGAGTACTCTATATTGTCTCTAGTGAATGAGCTGCGATCTGCTCCTCTAGGAGAATACAAGATTCAGCATAGCAAAGTTCAATGTGCAGAATGATTTGGAGACAGCAGGGGGCAAAGACTTTTACCTCAAAGCCCGAAAGGATCTGAAGGCTTTTGTTTCATTATCGTCCATGACTGGGTTTGGAAAAGGATGTTTCCTTCTTTTTCCAGCAATGAATGGTGATTTCCCATTAACCTGTGTTTCAACTCGTATTTGCCTCATTTGGGCTTTTGTACCTGTGACGCTGATGGAAGAAAAAGTCTCCTGCAGCACTGTGTTTCCTTGGCAGTAACAGAAATTGTTAATGACTACTGAAATTAATTTTTTTTATAATCTGTACTCTCCATAATTTGCCGCAGAACACCTGTGGCAGTGGCAGACAGGCAGGTGTGCATTTTACATGTCCTCTTAAGGATTCCTGGCTTGTACTTCACTCCTGGACCTAGCAAATACAGAATGTTGCCATCCTTGATGACTTGGCCTGTTTTTTTCCCCTTGCAAATACATTTGCCATAAGTCTTCCATGTCAGTGATATGGCTGCTTCCTAGGATAGTTTGGGGCTGATAGATGTGCATAATTTTCCATCCTGTAACTAAAAAGTGGCACCATTTCTCTCCCTGTACAGTACATGTGTGCACCTTCCACCTACTGACCACTGCTACTCGAGGTGTGCTACTTAATGGGCCTGGTAGGAAAGGCTCATTAAATTTATCAGGGTCATTATTGCTTTGGCTCCATTTCTTTGATATTTATCTGGGGGCTACAAATCAAGACAGCTTTTTTATGTACTACTATGCTACTTAACCTTGTACTGCTTTCATCAGAATCATCTGCTACTAACCTATCAGCATAGACAGGAACAAAGGGTAAGGATAAATCCGTATTACCCAGGAAATCAGATTGTAATGATTCTTTTTTAACCTTACTTTATGAAATGGAAGCCCTGCATTCGGCCCCTTGAGCTGGCCGAGGTCTTTTTGCTTTGGGAGACAGAGCCAAGACTTCATTAACTATACTGAGATAAAATCTCTGGCTGACCGTCTCTATTTTATGAAGCTTTGAAACCTACAGCCCTTCAGAAAGGAAAAGATTTTTCTTTATTCTCCTACTTACAGAAGTTACTATGTCTTCTAGCCCAGGTAGCTCTGCTCAGTGAGCTTTACTAATGGAAAAGTCACTGGATTAAACCATTGCCTTGAGATGAACCTGAATGAGCACATTTTGCAAAAGACCAGGTGATGCCCTCAGTTAATTTTTCTCTACAGTTTAGTGCCATGAGCTGGAAGGACCCCTCTAATTTTGGTGAAACCTAACATCTGAAAAACAAAACACTCTCTTCAATATGCCTTTCTAGAGTTCAGAGTTTAGTACAGATCCCTGACAGTATGCATCAGCTTTGTACTCTGACTCCAACTCTATTTTTGTTTGTCATTCATGGGTGACAGCAGGCATTCATTCATGTTGTCTCCAAATTAGTTTTTGTGTAAGCGTGGCGTCTTTGTAATCAGACAGATGGCCTAGGTTTGATTTCTGACCTAGGGCTTTGCCCGTCATGGAAGAAAATGCCATTTGTTACTATCTAAAGGATCTGCAGTGACACATTACAGGGAATTCAATCTGGAATTGAGGGAGGATTGCACACAGTGAAGTCCTAGGAAAAGAATCGGGGCCAGAGTCCAGGCACAAAATAATCCTGCTCAAAGTGCAGAGGTTTCACACATTTATTAGAACAAGCAGTAAACACAAATCTCCTAAGTATAAAATCTAAATGTTTTCAAGTTCTTGTCCCAGACAGGAGAGTCACAGCATGAAGGGCAGATCGAAGTTCTTCTCGCCGGTGCCAAAGTAGACGTAGCCATATTGCTTGGTCATTGGGACATGGTAGAACGTCAGTCCCAGCCACAGCAGGCTCCGCAGCACCACTACTGTGCCTCCCTTCTCTGGCTGGACCGTCCAGGAGCCTGTGTGAGAACATGCGCTAATGAGTCACTGCAAAGGAGAAAGAGGCAGCGTTCCTGGAGCAAGCTGTCCCTAAGCCGAGGGAAGGACTGCAGTGGGTTCTGCCTGACCAGTTAACAGTGCACAAGGCTGCACTGGAGTTTGTAACGCCTGAAAAGAGAGAAGTCAGGGAGACCAGAAACCTTGATGCCCTTTTTTCTTTTGTCAATTCAGTATTACAGGCTCCCCTCGTTTCCAGATGTCTGCATCTAGGTTCACACAGTAGCATATTCCCGTGGCTATGATGGTAATGTCATATGCGTCACAGGAAGGGACCCCTGAAGCTCCAGACTTGTATACTTGATCCCTAGGAGAGGCTACAGCTATTCTTGGCTGCTTCTGAGTGGGCAGCAGTTACTCAACAAGCTCTGCCACCTACTTGGTCTAGCTAATAGCTATAGAGAGCCAAAACTAGCTATAGCAACCCTGCACAGGTAAGAAATTTCTTCTTAAAATAAACTTGTAGCATTAGTAGTGGGAAGAGGAAGAAGGTGTTTTCCTGCTCCAGGGAAGACTCATTTCCCTGATGCAGCGACTCGGAAAGAGGAAGAAGAGAAAGAGAAAAGCAGGGTATTTCCTGTCTCAGAGAAATTTACAGAAAAGGTTAATTCTCTTCAGTCGTTCTTGGCTCCACCATTGAAGAGGATGTGCGTGGCAGGGGCAAAAGGATTAGTTTCTGCATTCATTTTGCTTTGGCTCTGCAGAGAAGGTTCAGAGCCAGTGTGAAAATGCAATTTCTCCTGGATTCAAGGAGCTCTGAGCCACTGAGTATTTGTTTTGCATCTGACACGACAGCCTGGGAACAATGCCGGCGGGGAGGGGGCTGGAGCATCAGCTTGGATTCAATGCCGAGGGCAAGGAGCTGCCAGGAGAAGAAAATACCAGCTTCG